TAACCACTGTTGAATTTTTTCTCTTTTTTATTTTTTTTAAATTTCTCATTATGTTCCTCTGAATGTTAAMGACAATTTTGTAGCTGTTGATAATGATAAGTCTAAAAAAAAGTATACACATATTATACATCAAGTTAAGTTCATAAAACAATTTAAAATGTAATATTTACTGGACATTTTAGAGCCTTCAATGGTATCGTTTTAARTCCTATTTGGGATTATCATTGTCAACAATGTTCTCAGTCAACTGGAATTATAATTGAAAATGATTTTTGGATTATAAATTCAATAATATAGGTACTAATATTAATTTAAAATATTATGTACATTAATACATTATTGTAAAACAATACAGAATCAAGGATTTAAAAATGTTCATACCTTCAATGTAACTATCCATGATATTATTACAGATTATATAAAAAAAAAGTTTTATATAATCTGTGATATTATCATCAGACAAATTTCACATAAAATAATGAATTTTTARAAATAAATCGAAATTAAATAAATGATAAGTTTATTAGGGTATGATGATCACTAAAAGAAAATGTACAGTTAGTCGTTCCGACTTCAGAGAACTTTTTGACAATATAAAGATTAGAATTAATTATCATTATAAGTGATAATATGTAATATAATATGATAAAAGAATGTACATTTATGGGAAATATTAAAAATTATGTGGGGACAAATCTAGATTGGTATTACTCGACCACCTCATTACGATAGCCGAAAAACACCAAAACAGTGTGAAGCATTTTTCAATTAGTTTGATACACCAAATTTCTTAAAACTATACCGGTTAACTTTTTAAGCGGAAATTTACGCCTGTTTAGTCCGTCGAAGTTTTAGCTCTAGTCAATGGTTGACTTGAGGGGGGACGCAGGGGGACTGAGTACCCCAACTAATTTTTTGGATACACTAGCGTACATAATTATACATTATTTATATTATACAAAATACAACAGATCATATTAGCATTATCCTCCAATTTTAGACATTATGTTTTATTTAAATTTTTATTTTTTGTTATGATTTTTGATTATTTCTTATTTACAACATAAATTTTATTTTTTGTTACCAAATATAAATTAAATACAAAAGATTTTTTTAATTAAATGTAGTACCTACTGCCTAATCACTTATATTATTTTGATCATTTCAGTTTGTTGCCGCTGTCAGCTCTTATTAATATTAAATAAGGAGTGCCTTCACGACTGAATAATAKATATGCTTATAAAAATATAAAATAAGAAAATCAATAATGTGTGTTGGCAGTTTCTTTAATTTTTATTTTAGGGAATAATGACAATAATGTGTTTTAATTGAGTAAATAAATAATAAATTGCCATGTAGGTTTATGATAATTAAGTATAACATAAATATAATAATATAGCCTCTTGGCTTTAAATAATAATACAACAATGCTATTTGCTAATAATAATAGTACAAGGTTTCTGATTAGAACATGAATCTAATATGGTATAAAAGGGGCTCGATTAGCACATGAATTTATTTATTTATTTATTTATAATATATAAACGCCAAACGGCAATTTTTAATTAACAGATTAAGTTTAAATTAATAGATATAACAAAAATATAATAATACAAATACACACAAAATTAGAACATATG